TGCGCATCATAAGAACCCATCCGTATGGGTTGTGTTTGTGTGTGCAAGCATTAAACCATTAAAATCGCTGGGACAAAGGTAAGATGATTTATTTCCTAAATGAACAATTTATTTTCCAATTGAACCATCAGTTGCGCACCAGGTGGGACCAGACATTAGAAGAGTCGTGTTTGATTTATGAGAATCGAATGCCGAATGAGCTCATTGACATTCGAAGCACGTTTCATTACCACGTCTGTTTAGACGTTAACCGATTCTATCCTCAGGCCTTGCAACAAAAAGCAATGCGTTGCGGACTAATGGTACTGCTAGTTTGAAGTTCTATTTTATTGTATGTTAATGCTGAATAATGTTCAAATAAATCCCAGACAATAAAAAATATGGGAAAGCTGAGATTTAAGAGGTCGAGAGAAATCCGGTTTTGCGGATAATTTGCCGTTCAATCTTTTGGACAATAACTAATGAAACATAACGGGTATCATATCAGTGATGGGTAGAAAATACTAAAAGCCTTGAAACTGCAACGGTTGGGAGAATTATGATTCTATGTAAATCACCGATGACATATAAGTGCATCTTCCGGACAGTCGAATTCAGCAACTAAAGATTAACAGTAATACATGAACTATTGCGAACCACATATATATCAGGCGAGCGAAAGATTCATAAATTTTCAGCGATTGAAGTAGGGAAACCTAAGAATATTGGGATTATTTTAACGTTCACTCTGAATCCATTTGTTCCGACCAGTGTATTAGGCAGTTTCAGTTTGATTTATTAATGACTACTAGGAACTTTATTTTCCTTGACTGTGATTTGTTGTCTTTCTCAATACAGACAGGACAACAACTGCTGGTAAAACCAGTTAAATGCACAGCTTTTCTTTTTAAATCATGAATACTGTCTTTCCGTCACTTCATTTGCTTAAAATACAGGATTGTGTCAAGATGTTGCTTTTGCCGGATATATATATATAAACAGTGTTGAAACAAAGTCAAAATACACTTCATGAATACAGTTATATTACAAACTGAAAAAATATTTCCGGATGCGTATACTAGATAAGATTTAAGAACCGCAAAACCAATCGTGTGCTTACAGGGAACATTTTACAAGTCATTCACATACCCATTAAACACACATATCTATTAGCAATGGATGCACAAAAACGATGAATACATTAGATTTTATTGTTCTTAAGAGTTCGTAGAAAAAAATACAGCTCAACGTTAATTTTATTAGCATTCTCAGTGGAAACTATGCGCCGGAGATATGGTTGTCTGAAAATAGGCAAGCACACAAATAATTTGGTGGAGCTGAACGATAACCAGCGGATCACGGTTCTTTATAGACATTTGGAAATACGATCCACCCAAAATGCTTCGTCAGTTTCTGATGATGTTTGTCATGCGATATCATGACAGCTCAGGAATAAGCATTTTGATTAGTCAGTGAATTCAGTACCCAATAAGCATTCAAATTCCTCCATCTTCCGTAGAGGAGCACGTAGGTAAATCCATGGTCCAAGATGCATGCAAACAGACGCACGTAGATTGACACGAACGAATACATATATATCTGCTTGGAGTGTGAAAGTTTGTTCACTTAAGAGACAAAAATTGCCAAATGGTCTGTCACGATCAAGAAGAAAAATATCAAACGGATCACGGACAAAACCGATCAATTTGTTTGTTTGTTTGCATTGCAACCTGCTACAGACGGGATGGATTGATTTCTGAGTT